GACTAAATGGGCCTGATCCAGCAGGTCTCTTCTTATTTACCCTGCCTTGTTGTCTGCAACCTGTCTCCTGGGCTGAGTTCTTTGTCATCTGGGCTTCTTCTGATGTGTGAGGAGACTCTTCAAACTCACACATGCTGGAACAATTTTCTACTTCTACTTCAATATGATGAAAGACAGATCAACCAGTATAGTGTTAATATTCAAGATGGTTGGAAATGGAAAGAATTGAAGGACTGGAAAGCTGGAACTGCAGAGTGCAGAAAGTTTTCTGTTATGCTCAATTTAAAGTTGTTTCATCAAGGCCTTTAAGAATGTATAATGTGGAAATTCTTCCAACTGTTTGGACATTTCTTTCCTCATGCAAAGTCTTTGATTGCAAGCGTCAAAGTATTTGATTGCAGGAGGATTTCATCAATGGGTGGAAAACTGCACAACGATTTATAAACAACCCTTGCTTGGGCCATTATAGAGTGTACATTTGTGTGCAGTGTGTGCACATGCATGCATGCATATTCCTCTTTTTTTAACCTGATTTTCCTCTCAGAGGTGACTTTGAAAAGTCACAGCATGAAAATTGGCAATAAATGATGCTCAGTGCTAAAAGCTGTAAAATGTCAAATAACATGCACCTTACCCCATACTATGCATTTTAATCATCTAGCCTGTCTGTCATACACATTTTCAAAGTATTAGCCCTTAACAAAAAGGAAAGTGTGGAGAGCTGGGAAAGCTGATACACAAGCCAGTTAGACTTGGTTATTTGGACTTGGCTTGATTTAACTCCATTGACTTCAGTCAGTGGAATGAAATCACCATAATTGAACTTGAATTGGTTTCTGGATCAGAATGTAAATTGGCTTAAATCAAATTTAGTATTATGGAAATCCAAAGATCTACAAGGGAGAATGAAGGAAGAGGATTCCACAGTAAAAGATGTGAGGTTTGTTGATAATGTAATATCCATTTTTTAAATATATATATATATATATATCACATAACTGGATCCATTCTAGTAACATTTGTTTTGTGGCGTTATAGTGATGGCCTGATAAATGTGAAGTCCTTGTAGGGTGGGGGAGATTTGTACCATGGTGTAAAATCAGTATAATACTTATAAGTGTAATATAATTATAAGTGTAATCCTATACAGACTTGCTAGGAAATAAGCCCCACTCAACTCAGTGACCCTTTCTTCTGACTAAACATGAAGATGTTTGCACTGGATAGTTAGGGAGTTGTGTCTGTCTAGAACGAGACTGCAAACTACTGCCCTTCCTCATTGCAATCATGGCAGACTCCTTCACTTCAGACAGCCCTTGTCCACAGAGAACACTGTACTTGTTTGAATCACTTGGAGTCACCCCGTGCTCATACAAGGAACCAGTAGAAGTGTGGAAAAGAAAACTCTTCTCGTTGGAACAATCTGAACTGACTGAAATAAATTACTCATGGATAATTAAAAACCTGGGCTCCGTTTTACCCAGACACTGGCATACTGCAATTAAAGCGCTGCAAATTGAAATTCTTCATTCAGCCCATGACAGCCAACCTGTATGCAACTTGTTGATTTGCACCACCACTTTAGAATGCTGTAGAGTCTCCTAATTGGCTATTTGCGGCCTTTCTTAACCCTACAGATGTCTTATTTAGGCATCTTTTTTGTGGTTCAGTCACAGAGTTAATTTGCAGACATATGCCGCTCAAATTCAAGAATGCCAAGGTTTAGAACAGTACAAGATTTTCTGTGAAGATTGGTTTTGTGGATCACCTTGCTGTGGTGCATAATTTTAGAAAAAAGTAGATTGCCATCATGAGGGTAGAGCCTCTGTCTGATTTTACCTTGTGCAGTCCTTTGATTGGAAAGTTCTTTGGAAATAATAAATATGCTTCTTATTAAGATTTTGGTTCGGGATTTTACCATCAGGTTACTGCTTAGGAATCACTACAGTATTCCTAATCTAACTAAGATTTTGTCTAAAGTTCTGTTTGGGAATGAACAACTCTGACATAATACCCACTGTGGCCTTTTGATCTGCTGGTAGAGCTTTTCTGAGGCAGACCGTTTTGCTTGTCTCTCACTTGCTAAGCTGGTGTCAAGAAGTGAAGGCACTAGGAGCCCATTGTTTGTACTCCAGCTCATTCTCCTGTGGCTTTGTTGCAAGCCCTGCTGATGAGAACTAAGAAGATTAAGCTAAGTAATCTTTGAATCTTGGTGTCGGTGAAGTTTAAATTCTTATAAACTGTCAAACCTCATAAATATGAGGATCAGTAAGAAGGAAATAAAAATCCAGAAAGAGTGGCTTACTTATTTACCTACACACACACACACACTTGTAAAAATTTCAGCAATATGATCTGATGCTCAGCTTTTTGGCTGACATAGGAAAGTCACTGCAATGTAATGTGCCATCTCATTTTGATTTGGCATTGCTCCTTAAATATATATATATATATTTGTTCTCTTTTCCACCCCACCATTTACTCTACTTTTGATTATCCAGTTTTCCACTCCTTCAAGAAAGCACCTACAAACTTGTGTCGACTATCTTTTTGCATGTTGAGTATGTGGCAATGTCCAACCGTATGCATCTGGTTAGGATACATCAGAATATGTGCCTGGCAAAGTCATGGCTGATTGTGCTATGAATTAACCTAAAGAGCAGAAACAGAGAATCTAATTCATGCAGCTCTTGGTGGGATGAGGGATGTAGGGAGAGGAAGAGGAAGATCAGGGAGAGGAAGATCAGAAATACGACATAGGGTGGCCGTCTGTCTTACTTTACAGAAGAGAGTCCTCTAGTTGAACTGCTGTCCAAAGAACCTTAAGAAGGGGAAATGGGGTCCTTGAACTTGCCTATCAGTAGTCAGCACCTGGAAAGCAGTGAGTAAGAACACAGGTCACCTTACTTAGAATCATATAATTACAGAATTGCAGTGCAGGGATAAGCAGTTGTTCCATACAGGGATCAAACCTGCAAGTTATCAGCAGCACGCTCTACCACGCATCTTCCCTACTATGGTGAGATGTCTGGGTTTTTTTGTTTGTTTTTTTAAACCCACTATTAGTATCTATGCATATAACTTGGCATGTACAAATATGTGCCCACTTTTGTTTTTTAGTTATTAGATATTTAATTTGCTTATGGAACCGGTTGTAGGCATTGCCTCACCCCTGCTTAAAATATAAAATGTGGAACCACAGTAATAAGGAAATACAACTGATGACATACAATTAAGCTTCACTGACACAAAGATTTTCAGATTATTTTGTGTTTAATCTTCTTAGTTCGTATCCACTGTACTTGCAACACTGGTTCAATATAATAAGAGTTTCAAAGTGTGATTAATTTCCATGCTCTTGAGGATCATGCTGGGGTGCCGGGGGGGGGGGATGTGCAGCTAAAGATTGAATGAGGGACTTTCCAATAAATCCTTGCACATGTTTTACCTCCAAACTGCTGATAGAAAACCAGCACTTATTTAACATTATTATTACATTTATATCCCACCTTTCCTCCTTGGTGCTCAAGGTGCCATACATCGTTGTCCTCCCATTCCTCTCTCACAATAACTTAAACTCTTGTCATGCTTTTTGTCCTTAAAACTTGGCGCCATTCATGTATTCATCTCCTCTTGTCTAGGGCTTAAATGGTGTTTACTTTTAATGATTTAAAGTATAGAGATATCTTTTAGAGTGCATAAAGGAATTGTGTTGTGCTCTTTGAAGGCAGATCCAAGTTCAAGCAAATTGAACTGGTATCTTCTCTAGGTCTTTCACATCTCCTTGAACAAAACTTTTCACTGCACTGATGTTTCATCTTATCAGGTTATAGAGCTCGCTTTTGCTTAAATAATTGGTCTTAAAATAGGGTCACAGGCAACCTACATTCGGTCACACCAGGGGACACCACCTAATATTTTATTTTGTACTTTATGAGGAAGGACATGATAAAGTAGGATGATAGAGGGCTTAGGTAGAGATTGGGAGGGCAAAGAAAGACATATATAATAAAAAAGAAAAGAAAAGCGGCTGTTATATTCTGGTGTATCTTGGCTTGAATATATTCCCCTTTGTTGGCCTTCTATTTGGCAGTGATTTACTGTAACTCAGAGCCGGCCCACCCATTTGGTGGGCTGAAGCAGCCTCCTCAGGCAATGGAAGCACAAGAGGTGGTGCCCCACCTGCCCCTGCTGCCAGAAAGCCCCAAGCGGAAGGTGTTCTGGGACGCAGCCTTGCCACTTACCTTCCTCTCCCCTTGTGGGACACCCCCTGCCTCATGCCAGCTTTGGCAAGAGGGTGGTGTTCCAGTGTTCGGCATTGCTTGCTCGTCTTTCCTACTCCTAAGGTAGGGAAGATGAGCAACAAGACCTTGCAGAATGTCCGCTCTCACTGTGTTTTGGTGACAGGGGGCGGTTCTGCTGGCAAGGGAAGTGGTGGGCTGGGTGTAACATTGTGGGAGGGGAGACGGGGGGTGGGAATCACATTCCTGTATCGCCTCGTGGAGAAATGGTGTAAATCATCTGCTGTAAATCATCCTATCTTTCTTGCCTGGAAGTACTATTTTTCTTCTTTCCCTTTTTCTTTTTATACTCACTTCTTTACACACTTAACTTTCTTATGTTCATTTTGGATCTCATTGCCTCTAGATTTATGAATCAGCCCCTTACACTCTTTTAATAAGTGTCTGGATTACACATTGCTATTTTCAGGCGTTCTCTCGTCTTTCATTCTTACCTTGCTATCCATCCTCTTCCTTCCATCCTTCTGCTGGTGCTTTTGATGTTGCTTTTTTTGCAAGCAGTTTTTTTGTGGTTAATCTTGTTACATACTGTACAGCCCTGAGTTTTTATTTAGATGCTTAAGACATTAAGATGATGTAGCAGGTTGGGTTACCGGTGATCTCAGATATGAAAAAATGAAACTAACCAATTTAAATTACAGCATTCTCTCCTGAAAACATTAGTATTGCAGCTAATGATCTTAACTTATATCTTGACAGGAATCTTTCTCTGAAGTTGTCAAAGGAAGTGGATCGAGGAGAAGCGAGGTGCCCTCGTGTCAGCCAACTGGCTAGCAGCCCGTCGGTGGAGTGGCCTTTTGCAGCCATCGAAGATGGTGGAGGGATGGAATCTTTGCCCTACCGACTGATGATGCAAGACTGTACAGCTGTCAAAACATTACTTCTGAAAATGAAGAGGGTTCTCCAAGAGGTAAGGGTTTAAATGACTGAAAGGCTGCTGTTTTTCTATGTTAATGGTGATGGAAAATACCAGAACTAACTACGGGAGGTTGATCTTCTGGCATTTGCTTTTGCAAACTATTAATTTATTGATTTAAAAAACAAAATGTCCATAGCTAAATTGTCCATAGCTGTCCAATCTTGATCATGATGCTTCAAGCCCCTGTAATACATTGACTTTTGAGAAGAATAGAGGGAAATAAAGTGCTCTTGTTGACAGCATGATAAAACAAGATGGAAAACTGAAAGGGAAAGGGAATTGGAGGAGGGGTTAAGATTGGAGAGGAATTTAAAGAGAGATTAACTGGTAAGTAAAGTTTAATGGAAGCAGGCTGACTTGACTGACAATGGTCCCTGGCCACATGGAACATTCATTGTACATTACTGTTCGTCACAAGGCAAAGCAGTCATCTGATCACTGAGCCATGCGACTAGATTGATTTCCATCTGCCTCTGATGTTGGCATTGTTTTTAAACACTCTATCAAAGATCTTGAAATCGATCTGGTCACTCAGAAGAGCAATTGGTGAGCTGTGTAGCAACTGCTTCCATTGGAAACTATTTTGTGAAAGAGATTATGTCCTGTTTCAGCCATAAGGTTAATGTGATGTATATGAACCTACTTGTACCTCTTCTCTCCACATGGCCAAAAGATCTGCTTCCGTTTTCTACTAAGCACAGTTTATTGTTTCTTCTCAATCAAGGATGGCAGTCAGCCATGGTTTATCCAAACTAGCCAGAATCAGAAACCACAGTTTGATCTTGAGTTGTTCGGTCATATCATGGTTCAAACTCACTGTGTTTTTGTTTCAGTTTGGACGTCATGCCAGAGGAAGACAGAGAAGGTTGTGGGGAGTAAACAAGCTTAGTTTAGTTCATGCAGAACTAAGCTTTCATTTAATATTGTGTTCGGACACAGCTGATAGGAAATCTCTTTCGACAGAGGTAGATAGACGTTTCACAAATTAAAGTCAACACTTGATATTGCAGTTATTACATGATGAACATGCAGATATTGACACAGTTTATATTGTGCATTTCCCCTCCATTATTCATATTTTACAGAGCATGGAGAAATTACTTTTATAAAGTTTCCTAAGATGATGTGAAGTGGGTGTCTAATCTTATTCTGACTATATGAGTTCAGAAACTACTCAGTTTTTCAAAATTAAAACAAAAATAGAACCAATATGAGCTATGAGAAAGGACACCAATGCTCCAGTTCCACAACTCCCCCCCCTTTCCCCATCATAGCTTACTCATGATCGAGAGTATATTCATAAACATGAGGGCTAGTATTATAAAAAGAGAAGATCTCTAGAATCTGAACCTGATCATAGATTTCAACAAAATCAAGGGAGCTTCCCAATAGCCAGACAGGTATTTATTGTGGGACTGGTGTTCTTCTTTTATGCAAGTTTTTCACAGCATCCATTTGACGTCATTATCATTAGAATGCCAGCCTGTATTTTGCCTCCATTTAATATTGATTTACCCTTTCATGAGGAAAATCCCATATATATTTAAAAAAAATCAAAAGCACCTCTTGCCACCTACCCGTTTGCAATATCAAAACCACCTGTTTACCGTATTGAACTCCTGTCCAGAAGCACCTCAACAGCTCTTTATTTTGGTGATAAGATTGGCATTTTATATGAAAGGAGCTTTTAAGAGATTGGTACATCTCTCTGTCAGCCCAACAAATATCACAAATGACTGGCAAATTAAGAGGCAGTTATCAGTTTATTAAATCTCTCCAGGTTTCTTTAGCTAACCAAGTTTGTAATTAACCAGTATATTGTTACTGATTTATTCAACATCTTCATTTAAAGTAGTCACTTCTTCTTTTTTAATCAAGTAATTCATGCTGGAAATGGGTAATTCCTTCATTACATGCTGCTTTAACATGCATTGCGTGTGAATTTTACATAAATAATAATAATAATAATAAGGCATCAGATTCTGATAGTATTGTTGTCGGTTTGGCAGTCGGTTTATTTCTTTTTAATGTTTGTCTCCCATTTACAAACCAAACAGTTTGCCAATATATAGTTCACTATTTTGGCTTTCATTTGTAGATGCAATGTTGATGAATGATGACTGTGAAGATTTTGGTATGGGCTGCAGTATCAACCGTTTTGATACGGCAGACATTCCTTATGGAAGTTAAAGATCTTCCAGCAGAATTCAAGCCATTGTAATGGTTTGTGCTACTTGTTTTTCTGCCAGGCAAACTGTCTGAACAAAATATCTATTAAAAGAGACTTAGCTGTGGGTGCATTACAGTGCCCGCACCAGCAATTACTTCTTCGTGAACTGCCCCAGGCAAGTGAATGTGACCACAGAATCGATCCACAGGAAAAAATAACCCCCAAATATGAAACTCTCTTTCAAATCTGCTGCCCATCTCTCCTTGTAGTCTACTGGAACTTTGTTGGTAAGAAGTGAGGGTGAACTAGATGAAGTGATCTGTGGCATAATCCTTTTCACGCTTACTCAGGAGTAAGTTCCACTGTTTTCAAGGAGGCTTCTGCCTGTACATAGCATTGTAGTTTTAACTGAGTATGTGAACTATAAGATAAAGGAGAAGTAGTTGTGTGTTTCAGGGAGGGAGAAGAACAAGAGAACATCCTTGCCATCACCTCAGATAGCAAGACTTTCATGGGTGCAGTGCAGAGTTTTTGTCATGCTCAGCTTCCTTTTGAGGTAGCCCAGGGATCCACCAAAATATCCTTTGTCCATACAACAGTCAGAAAAGATGCATAGGCAGTTAGTTACAAATAGTAAAAACTTCTAAACTATTGGTATAGAAAAATGCTAGTTTCAAACTCTGTTCTGGTCTGAAATGAAAAAGGCTGGTTAAAGCCATGTCTTGGAACAACCAACTGAGAGCTCTTTACATACTGAAATACACATGGAGAGAGAGAGAGATAACAAAATGGTGGCGCATTTCCTCACAAAGTTTGAAGTCATGTCATTGGCTAAGCCTGACAGGACAACTTAGTCTATGGTTTAGTCTCTCCATGCACTAATTAGATTCAAGCATGCTAGAGTTATATGAGGCCGGAACCCACACCTTTAAGCACGGTTAAACCTAATGGGGGACATGCATGAAGAATTAAAGCTTGAGAGTAGCAGGCTGAAGGAGAATGAAACAGCAACATCTGCCTGCTAAATGCCAGGCTCACACCTGGGTCTTAACTTCTTCTCCAGCCCCTTTGACATATATATTTAAAGGTAGAAAGCATAATGATGTAGTTGTTTGCCTACTTAAATGCTTAAGTGGCTAGAACAGCACAAAAAATAAAGTAAAATCAGCCCAGTTAATTCCCACCATCATTATCTCAATTGTCCATTATTAATTTGCTATTGTTGGCCGTAATAAAGCAGCCAAAATGAGCCAATTCCCCAACCGAGTTTGCTGTGCATCTATTGTTGCCTCGGGCTCGTCATTTCAAATACACCTGAGCTTTCTTGGCAAAAAGAGCTGATTGTCCCAATAAATTGGCATATGTTGGAGACTGCATTGCAAGTAATCTGCAAGCAACCGGAAGATCTTTCACACACACAAAAGTCCAGGAAAGTGTGGATTACACTCCATCCTTTCCATAGCCTGTGAGTAATTTTGAGCTAAATGATGTGCTGCTTAATGACAGCAGAGATAAAAATGTTCCTGATAATGAGGAAGACAAAGTTTAATAATGTTAATGATAACAAGGCTCCTAATGAGTTCCCCAACTCTGTTAATAAAGAGCAATAGGAAATAGAAGTGGGATAAGAAAGGAGGGCGCCGCAGACAGAGGAGTTCCCGACCCATGTTATGCAGTAATTGAATCTCCTAACAGCTTAATGGGATTGAAGGAATTAAAATGTCAAGTTGTCAAACATAATTTTCTAATGTGCAAAGCAACACTAACTATGTAGGCAAGAACTTAAAAGTAACTCTGTCCCCTTTTTGGACTTCATATCTAATGTAGATTTAAAATAGGATTGTGCCACATGTTAATACGTTTCACTTGTTCTCTCGTTTTGCGCTTCCCTTGTTTTTGGTCCAGAAGCTGCTGTATATGCAGAATGCAACCTCCTGGCTGCTACTGGGAGATTCCCATCAACACCTGTTTAAAGATCTAAACTTGCTGTTGGAATTCCCTCCCTATTACCATTTAGTTAGTACCACTGGTACTTTGTTCAGATTCCTGCTCAAGATACTTAAGACCCTTCATTGTCTTAAGGCTTTTCTGCTTACACAGGGCTTTTCTGATGTGTAGCTCGACCATCGATTATTGTGTACCACTGTCCAGATGTTGACTTAAGTATTTATAGTCTGTTTTATGGATGTGTTATGTTCATCACCTAAATCCTTTGTTTAATGTACAGTATATAAGGGATATGGGTGGCGCTGTGGTGTAAACCACTGAGCCTTGGGCTTGCCGATTGGAAGGTTGGCAGTTCGAATCCCTGTGACGGGGTGAGCTCCCGTTGCTCAGTCCCAGCTCCTTCCAACCTAGCAGTTCAAAAGCATGTCAAAGTGCAAGTAGATAAATAGGTACTGCTCTGGTGGGAAGGTAAACGGTGTTTTTGTGTGCTGCTCTGGTTTCACCAGAAGTGGCTTAATCATGCTGGCAACATGACCCGGAAAAACTGTCTGTGGACAAACGTTGGCTCCCTCGGCCAGTAAAGCGAGATGAACGCCACAACCCCAGAGTCGTCTGCGACTGGATTTAACTTTCAGGGGTCCTTTACCTTTACCTTTTATATAACTCTATAAATAAACAGGCTCACTTTAAAGTAGGCATGGGGACCCTGTGGTCCTCCAGATGTTGTTGGACTCCATCTCCCATCAGCCCCAGCTTGCATGGCAAATGGTTGGGGGTGATGGGAGTTGTAGTCCAACAACATCTGGAAGGCACCAAGTTCTCCTTCCTGGCTTTATGGGGCAATGTTGGAAAGTGGCATAAGAGGGAAAGAGAA